ACAGCTGCAAGGAATCAGAATTAATAGGTGATTTAAAAAAAACACAAAAGCTTTTTTTTTTAAACATGAAAAAGAATTTGTGCTAAGGAGTTATCAGTGGTAACGCAACAAAAAAAACCCTTTGCTTCATGAATAAAAATTTCCATCAACTCGAATTCTGCAGCTATTTGACTGAATGTGTTGTTGAGCTCTGCCATAAGTCGCGATCAGATGCACATCATTTGTGCTACTGGTGGTGTGGTAGCACTGAGGGTCACTTGGCACAGCTGGCTCTGTGAACACATGAGAAGGAGCTGGTTTGTGGCTGGAGCAGTGCTTCTGTTAAAGAGCAGACAACAGGCGATGTGTAGCTGCAGTAAAGGAGGGGGAACATGGGGTTGTGGCGACGGCTGGTCGGCACAGGCAGCAACCTAACTGCCAAGGGTCTTTACTCAGTGATATTCACTTATTGCTGCACCTTGAGGAACACCATTTGTCTTAGCTAACCCTGGAGTTGAAGTTAGACCTAGCAGATGTTCTAGTCTATGAAAGCGTTCTTCATGTTGAAAGCATTCTCACTCTGCACTTAATCACTATTTTCTGGCAAATACCAATGAAACGCAATCCAGACACTGTAATAACCGACTGTGCCATTGTACTCCTGTTAGGCAGCTGTGTGGTGGTTTTCCAAGAGACCCTGGGGCCCCGGTGATGACCCCAGCAACCTAAGATAACCTGGAGAACCATGCTGATTACAAGTGAGTAAGAAACAAGTTTTTACTTGTTACATGTGAGGGGTCCTCAAAAATCCTCAGTGCAAATATGTGGTAATCCTTAGTGTCAGCAAGGGTAGACTTGGAGGACTTCAGTTGTGAGACAGATTTCTCAGCAATTTAATCTTATTTTAAGCACATAATGCATGGGATTTTTTATTTATTTCATTTATAAAAGGTGTGTGCTATAATTTTCTTACTGTATCGTGGAGTTTGAGCATAGTGCAGTAGGTCAATTAACCTTGTCATGGGTACGTTGCTCAATGAGTGCTCTTTCTGTCCAGAAACAGTCACCAGGACAGGCAAAGTAGTGCCTAGGCAGGTTTGGTGGAAGCGGAGTGCTTTCTGCAGGGGCTGACAGCAAAGGCATGAGGATCCTTCCTTTCTCCTAAGTAACTCCAGATACATTTCTTATTCTCTCCCTTCCTGTCTGATGGGTTCTCATGCCATAATCGATTCATAATCTATCTTCAAAAGCATTTTCTGCACTCTCCCAATTGTTCCCAGCTGAACTGGATTTGAATTGTGTTCTGTTTGTCTCAGCAACAGATGCCAGATATCATTAAATCAGGAAAAGTCAGGCAAGAATAGCCATTCTTTCTGTAATTTTGGCCAAAATGATCTTCGTGTTTTTTCAAGACAGTTTTTTATGTTTTCTATTACTGAAATGTTAGGATGTAGACAATGTGTGAGTACTCCTGTGGAACTGAATAAAATTATAGTGGGAATGTGACTAGCTTTTGTTAACTTTTAATCCATTTTTCACCTATTATTAAATGTAAAAATAATGAGAGAATTACAAGTAGTGCCATAAATCAATGCATGTCCTCAACTGCAGTGCAAATCATTTTTATGAGAGCAAGCCCCTGTATTTATAATAAATCAAATTCTTTATCTTTTGAGCTTCCTGATTAAAGTAATTAGTCATTTATGTTGATACAGAGCCATCAGTGAATACTTGTTTTGTATCACAAGTATTGAATCTTAAAGAAGTTTGAAAGGGTCATTGGTTATAATTAGCTACACATTGTAATGTAGATTTGTTGTTTTGTTGGTGGGAAAGTAGTTTCTTCTGACCTAGATTAATATGCTGAGCAATTCTCCTTCTGGAATTAGAACAAACTGTATTTTGAGTAAGGTAACTGTCAGTAGTTTAAGAGGCTGTTAGAAACTGAGCATGGAAAAAATTTTTGGAGTCAGATAAAAAACTAATGTGAAATGCCAGGTATGACACAGCAGAGGCACTTGGGTAGGGCACGCTGTGCCAGCATCCCCACTTGTGAGACTGCAGCATTAGCTCCTGCCCCTTCCCATAGCAGCTGGGGAGAGGTCTGGCTAATGCCATTTGCAAAGTCTTTGGTAACTTGGGAACTGCACATGCTGTGTACCTGTAAAACACAGCTGTTGGCTGAGAGGTTCTCTTTGGGATGTGGTTCTTACCAACCCGTACTTCGCATCACTCCCACTTGGGTGAGGCCACACTTGGAGCACAGTGTTTGGTTTTGGGCCTCTCACTACAAGAAAGACATTGAGGCCCTGGAATGTGTCTGGAGAAGGATAGCAAAGCTGGTGAAGGATCTGGAGCTCAAGTCATTTAGGAAGCAGCTGAGGGAAACTGGGATTGTTCAGCCTGAAGAAGAGGAGGCTCAGGGTTGAGCCTTATAACTTTCCACAACTCCCTGAAAGGAGGTTGTGGTGCAGTTGGGGTTGGTCTCTTCTTTCAGGTAACAGTGATAGAACTTGTGGTAATGGCTTTCAGTTGTGCCAGGGATGGTTCTTGTTGGATATTAGGAAAAAATTCTTCTCAGGAGTAGTGAGGTATTGGAACGGGATGCTCAGGGAGGTGGTGAAGTCTCCGTCCCTGGAGGTGTTCAAGAAACGTGTAACACCTTGGCACCAAGGGACATGGTTTAGTGGGCATGGTGGGGGTGGGTTGATGGTTGGACTGGATCATCTCAGTGGTCTTTTACAATTCTGTAGAATAAAGCCACATTTGCAGACAAAGATCATGCTTATGGGGACAAGTTTAAAAGTCTCCAGAGATGTTTTTATGGATGTGAGATGGGGCAGCCTATGCTGATTGGCTGATGAGCCACGTAATTTCAGTTTAAGGTGAACTTACCTTTTGGTGGCATTATGACTCTATCAGTACTGGTCTCCTGAAGTTTTCATTATATTTGAAGACAGATTTATATTATTTTTCTAATTTTCTATGTCAAACTCCAAGGAGAATTATGAAAGTCGAATTCTTTCATTTCTTATTAGATTACATGCTTTATTTAGAGTTAAAATAAGGGAACCTTCCCATCAGTTACTTTGGTCACCTGCTGTGCAGGCTGATAATACCATGCTTAATCTTAAAAAGCAGTGTCGGTCACAGTCACATTTGAATTCCAGTGTAGCAGCAAGGAGACAATGAAGGGAGAGAAGTTAGCTGAATTAGTGCTAATTTGTATTAACACTTTTCAAAAGCAAGTGCCTGGATGAATTCTGCAGTCTAACAGATACATCACATTGTGGCTTTGAAGATGTACTTTTTAGAAAGTGAGTCGTGTTAAGATTGAAACATATTTTTAGTTTATATTCCTGTGAGTAGCGCTATTAAAGTCAAACTTGTTTCAGTAATGCATATGGAGAAACAAGTAATAACATAGTGTGAGAATGTGAGAGGTTCCTCTTACAAGGGAGAAAAGGGGTTGTGACTGAGAGCAGGTAAATGTGAGCGCTGGCATTATTATTATTGTTTTTTTTTCTATTGTGAGTGATGAAGCACTGAGCAATTTCACAAGGAAGCTTAAATGTGCATTAGAGAAAGTCTTTACATCTTCTAAGACAAAGGAAATGGGTTATTTTTTGGAGAATATTGTTACAAAAAAAAGAAAACACCAACAAAACAACAAAGCAACACAAAGTCCTCTACAAAGATGAACATTGTCACTTGAAAGGAAAATAGGTACTCACGTCCGTTCACCACCTGGGTATTAATGCAGCCAATTACTGTGCCCTGCCTTTCAGACATTATTATGTTACAGCAAGAAAAGAGCCAATATTGTATTTTATATGACCTTTCTAATGCTGTATATACACATATAGATTTGTGTTATTTGTCTCTTTGATTTGCCAAATGTTTCTTATTTCTGGCTCAAGGCATTTATTTATTTCAAGGCTTCAAGCTGCGGTAAACAAGGTCATAGATTAAGAATTGATTTCCACAGTTGCTCTAGCATACAAACTAAATTTCTCTTGGTTGGTTATAAAAACCACAGCTGGGCATAAATTCATATTTTCAGCATTATCTTGAAATTAATGTTAAAGCACATGAAAAACATTCTTAGTACGCATTGCATGTTTATTTTAGGGCTTCAGCTAAAGCTTAAGGAAAGCAAATTGTTTTTACACTGCAAGTTTCTAAATGAAACCATGTTATTACTGATCTGAAGCATCTTTATTTTACTCGTTATGTTTTTTTCTTTATCTGTTTTTTTTGATAGGTTTTCTGTACAGCTTTTGGCAAATTTTTATGATCAATAAGTTGATTAGTTCTTTGTTTTTGCTATATGTTCACAGAGATCTTTCTGCTTATGACAAGAGTGGAATATCATTTCTGTTCTTTCAAATTAGATGATCCTGCTACAAATAGAAAAATCCTACCGTTCTGTTATCTTTTGCTCCGTCTTCCCCATTCCCCCCCATTTTAAGGTAGCTTTGTGATAATAGAGGAGTGCTGTGTACCACGATTGATTGATGTGACTGTCAAAGATGTTTAACTCCTCTATGAATCGCTGGTGCAATACAGTTTTGTAGTAACTATAAAATAAAAAGTTAAGTACAGAAATCGGCTCCTTAGTCATGTCTTTAAAGGAATTCTTTCTGTTACACAATCCCATGCCCCTGCCCTCCATGTTTGAGTTAGTTCAGTAGAGTGAGCAGAAATCACGATAGGTAATGTGTGTTTTCAGGTCGTAATCACCTTCCTCAGGTGGTTTTATGAACATTACCTTGCCCTCCACTGTTCCTCTGGATATCAGTTATTGTACCTGCCATAGGCAGAGATAAGAAAAAGGAAATGTGCATAAATAAATTACTTCGGGCTTAGGGCTCACTTTTTTCAATTCAGATGGATGTTTTGGAGGACTGAAGTTGTGAAATCTATCTGTTGGCACTGATTCCTGTTCCCTCCCTGAACTGTGTTTTGTAGGATTAGAATATATGGATCTCCTTTCATGGCTATATCTGTTTTGTTAGCACTTGATCTCATTTTACAGAATCTTTAGCTGGAGCTTAATTGAAGGTATCCTAAATTGACTTTTGTCAGCGTTTAAAAATGCATGTCTATAAAATCTATAAAATACAAAATAAAATTGACTTTGACTTCTTAGGATTTCCATATGGAGATATCTCCAGAAATGCAACTTTGTGGTGAAATGAGGTAAATCAATTCAATCTAGACTTTCTCTGAATAATAAAACAGTCTTACTGGAAGCCCTGTTAGATGGAATTATGATTATCAAGTCTGGTAGTCAGGAAGATTTCTTGTTAGGGTATGGCTGCAGGACTAACTAAAGTGTGGTTATTTTATATATATTATTACATAAAAAATTTGCAACCATTTCTGAAATGTAGGTTGCTGTTTTGAGAAGCCCTTAAATATGTATAACAAAGCTTGGACTAATTCATTAACCTTGAATAAATTCCTATGATGAATGAGGGAAATGAAGACAAAGCACAAATAGCTTATTGAGCAAGACTCCTTGTATGTGGCTGGCTCCCTGCAGAGGCACAGTACTAGGACAGATGCATCTCTGATGTGTCATTGTAGATCCACCAGAGGCTTTGAAGGAGCAGAACCTTATCAGAAGGAAATCTTGCATGGGCCTCCTCTCTACTGGCACAGTATTCAGATTTTCAAGTTTTTGTTTTTCCCCTACTCCTTTTTCTCTTCTATTAGTAGGTGGACAAATCCGATCAGTTTTACTTTTATGCTTTGATGGGGTTGGTATAAGAACCTAATAGTGCTAGAAATCTACTCCTATTTTACTACTCCTTTTGAATTTTTCTTGCTATTATCTATATTCCTGATGCCTTGCAAAGTCACTCTCTGCAGTCACCTAATTCTCATGTTCTCATATTCTCCATGTAGAACCATTCGTCAGTGATCCCTGGTGCAAAATACTGAAAAAGGGTCCTTGCAACAAACAGAAAAGTTTGGTGAGCAGGGAGGGGGAGCAGTCTCTCCATCTGTGCACTCTGCAATAGGAAGAGAGAAAAGAATGGAGGTGAATGAGGGGAGATGAACGCTTTCCTGTAGACTACCTGAAAAGACAGTGATTTCTAGGTGGAAGTTGGCAATGTACATCTGGGCCAAGTCTTATCTAGCCAAATCCTAGAAGTTGGATTTTTATGACGTTTTAAGTAATGCAGTTTGAAGAAGTCTGCCCACAGTAAGTGGTTGGGACTGGGTCAGTATCAAAGAAATGTGTTATTGTACTGACTTTTTACTGTAAGTCTGTTTGGTATCTCAGCTCTTGATGCAAAATCTGGGAAACTGGAGGACCTTTCTTACTTTAATAAGAGAACTAAGCTTGTAAAGTTTGCTGAAGGTTTGACACATTGTTCCAGTTACCTATTTGGTAAGTATTTGTGTATTGCTAGAAATGTATGGATTCTTTTTACCAGCTGAAATATTTGCAGAGGATACTTCATCATTAAAAAACAGCATTATCGTGGATCCATTCTCAGCCTCATCAAATTGCAGTAGCACAACATCTGAAAAACATAACTTGATTCAAAACAACCTTGAATCACCGATGCGACTTTGAGGGGAGGCACCAGCAACATAAGATGATTGCAGTACGGTTTTCACTCCATGGAAGGTGTGCTCAGTGTTTTGCAGTGCCATGCATGTTCTGATACATGGCATACACCTGCACTGGCTCAATCAGCGGACAATCGACCAAAACATGCAGATGCTGAGAGAAATGCTTGAAGAAGTTGAAGAAATAGAGGTCACCTGATGTGAAGCTTCTAGGTATGCCCTTCTTTTTATCAACAGAGTGACATAGTTCTTGAACAATTGATTTTCTTTTACTGGATGTCTGAACGCAGATTTGTTTATCGCATTTACTGCTTTCTTGTTGATAGAAGTTGAAGAAGGGAGACGAACAAAACATACAGGGTTGTTCATGTGTATACAGATCTTTTTTCCCTTTTCCACCCTTTATATGAAGTGCAGCGCCATGGACACTCAGTGTAGTCCTAATGACATGGAAAAGTGAAAAACAAGGCCACAGACTTGCAAATAAAAATTATTTACTCATTTGAAACTGGAAAGCAGGCAGTCAGTGCATTGCTTTGTAACTAGCTCCAGGATAGGGATGGTACTTGAACTGTGTTTTTGTATCACACCGTTCATGTATTTGATCATCAATCTCGCATCATATTTTATGTTATTGACCTGTCCAAATTCATCTGTGACAGAAAAAGGCCTCTGTACTCTTTTTTGATGGCTTTTTCTGTTGTTTTTTTTTTTTTTGTTTTGTTTTTTCCATCTGTCTTAGCTGTGTGGACCATGAGCATCCAGTGTGCAACAGTTCTCTGCTCGCTTCACAACTACTATAGCAGCTCCATGTTGTTGTAGTTGCTTTTTGTCTCTTCCGCTCAGAGGCACTGATGTGGATATTTCCTGACTCATTAGCACTTTTTATTTTCATAGTAAATTAATTGAAATTGATTTTTATTTAAAAGGAGGAGATGGTAAAAACTTGCGACACTGGAGCAGAGTAATAGAAAAACAAGTAGGTACTTAGGCTCGGTTCAGATGAAAGAGTACTGTTCCCTTAATTTGTCTTTCTCTTAAACATACCAAGGGATGTTGTTGTTCCATTGTCCACACTCGTCTTTACACTCTTCTTTACCTTCATCTGCAAATGGAGTCCATTACTAAACTGAGATGCTTTCTTTATCTAATTTTAAAGTAGACCCAAAGTGCAGTCTTAAGAAAGCCAGCTCATATGACTGCACTTTCATACTGTGATGCTGTTTGTAACCTGTGTGTTATTTGAGCTCATTTTGCTGGCAGAGAAGAGCTAGTCCTGGAGATAGGTAGTATATTGCTTCATTTTGCCCACTTCTAGTCATGTCAGTCCATATGAAAAGTAGCATGAATCTGTGCTGAGGCTTTCATCTCAGTGTAGTCCTGGAATTTGGGCTGATGCAAGTGCTCTGTGTGGGTTAGAGGTTTTATTCTGTTTTGTTATAAAGTCCTCAGATATTAGACTTGGAATGAACTGACATTCAGTTTTGAAACATTGGGGGCTTAAAGGAAAAATGAAATGACTGTTCCTTTGTATACCTGAAGTGGATCAATGGCTTTGTTTTTTATGTTTTTATTTGAAAGATATCACTTGCTGGCTTCAGAGTGGGTGGATTCAGCTTCCTTCTGGATCCTGAGCAAGTCACCTGTGAGAGATCTTGTTTTCTGCTGGGTGTACAGACAGCATGGAAGGGGAGAGCATCTATGGGGTTGATTCTGAAGATGGACCTGGAGGTAAGGGTGCCTATAACTTCTGTTTTCATCCCAGATGGCTGGTTGCAGGGCAGCCCTTATGACAACGGACCACGGAAGCCACAAATAGCAAATCTAACAAAGATGTGTACAGTTCTTCCATTGTACTGTGTTGCTTTACAAGCAGTGAATAAAAGTGATTTTGAAAACAGCTGTCTCCTAGAGGAAGTGGCACATCTGGATGCTGCATGTACAAAGCATTGCTATTTGGAGCCTGAGATTTTCCAAACATGATGCAAACCCCAAGAATTTACAATAAAATGAAAGCCATGTAGCCCGTTCTCTATTGTTTCTTTCTCTGTCTCTCACCTGCTGAGCAACTCCTTTATACACGCCATCTGTTTTGTTAATTTTTTTTTAACTGGACTGTGGAAAACTGCATGAAACGACTCTGACTTTCTATACATACCCACTAACACTACAGCTGTCTTTGGTCAAACGTGCTAAATTCACTGTTGTGATTTATCACTTTAATAATGGGGAAAGCAGAGTTAATATTACATACTTCTGCAGTCATGCTGATGTTTGTGTATCACACTAGGGAATTTTGTCAGTTTTCAGACTGATGACGTACTTTTGTGCTACTGCTTTTTCCCACCAGTTTTTTGAATTCCTCATTTTATAAATCTTCTTGTGAGACTCTGGGCAAACACCCTTATGTGGTTTGTGAAGCACATTCAACTGCCTAGATCAACTCACTTTTGAACTCAGAAGTCTAAATATTGTTGGAAGGAATGGGGTTCATTCCGAATAAAAGAAAGAATAACGTATAGATACAGGAGTTGGTGTGCTGTGCATCTGTATGATAGTTTGGGTATTTTCTTGCAGTGATCACTGTAAGAAGATGGGTGTTTTTTTTAGTAGATTGTACTGTGCTTCTACTGAGACACTCCCTTTCATATTTAATATTTCTTTTCTTGAGCCCTAGCTGTATCATCAATATTATTTATTGAAGGAGCAAGTTATACTGCCTTAGCTCTGAGTTTTCTTCATATTAATGAATTGCCTCCAGCTGCTCTTGAAGCAGCCTAACATGCAAATATGTACACATGAAATTCATTTTTTTTTAAAGAAACCTCAGTAGTTCTGTGAAATACCTGTTTTGTCATAATAATTATTACTACAAGAAAGGTATCAGCACTTATGTTTAAGTAATGCCCTTCTGCTATGTGGGTGAAGGATAACAGCAGCGTCCTCTCCTGCTTTCTGAGCATTTGTCATACCCTCTGCCAGAGTTTTTGAAACGCTGCAACTGGAGCCATTGTCTGACCATTAGTGATTAGGGTACTTTTTCATTTCGTATCCTGTCTTGGGACTAATTTCCTGGCCTTATCATTATGTCCTTCACTGAATCTCTGCTGCAGTACTGTATCTTTGTCATTTCTTTCATGCCATTTTGTGCATGGAAAAATTCTTTCAGAGCTGAGGTCAAAGAAAAAAATTGTATCCCAGCCCTCTTTTAGACTGACCTTTGCTGTTAGAAGAATTTATTGTCCTTGATCTACGTTTTCTAATTTGTATAGGCAAGACCGAGTGTGTGTGTGTGTGTGTGTGTACACAGAATGAATAAACATACTTCTGGCCTGTTTTCCTGTCTTTCCTCTTCGTTTCTAAGTTAAGAGATAAGCTCTTCAGAGGAAATTTACTATGTTTTTGGGAAATGGTAATAATAAATCATCACTTAAACTCAAGTTTAATAAACTTATTGGTATGAGAACAAAATTTGATCCTGTATGTGAAAGGGATATATTTACAGCTACATGTCAGTATATATATATGTTGCCTTTTTAGACAGTGTGTCTGCACAAGTAGTACTAAACACAGAGGACCATTTCGCATGTTCCAGAAAACAAGTGCTATTGTCTGTGTGTGAATTACTAGCTAAAAGTTCAAGTAAAAAAAAACTCCTTGCTTCAAAACAAACTCAACTATCTCATTCTGAAAGTTGGAGTTACGGGGGTTATCCCCTCTGTTATCCCTTCTGTTATGATCTACCTTTCAGGTGCTGTTAGCTGATGGGTAAGGGAAACGTTGGACGTTTTCTGTGTTCATAAAATCTAGAGAAACAGAATTCTCTTTGTCTTGCTTTTCCTGTTTCTGTTTGAGATAGAAAAATGGCAAAGGTCTGCCAAGCTGGAGGATACTGCGCTGTTTAACAGAATGTGAACTAAATGACAGTGTGACTTCAAAATGAGCCAACAACTCCACATTTTGAGAAGGGCCTTTGTTTAAGGTGTCTGCATACTTTGTGATTTGGGTACATATGTATCAGTGGCATGTAACAAAGTACACATACATCCTGCATACTATAGATGCAGCTATACCTGGAGTTACGTATGTCCTGAGTACAAATGTTTATTTACAACTAGGCTGATTTTATGTCTGAGTTCTGATACATCACTGACTTAAAACAACTGTGCCTGATTTCAGCAACATGAGTAGAACTTGTCAAGCTGTTTACCAGTACAATGAAATTAATTCCAAAACCCAATTATGCTTCGTTAATTCGTATGTCTGTCTGAATTAATTCGTATGTCTGATGAAAGTGTTTCCTGTGATTGTAAACTCCTTGATAGGCTGCCTGAATTTGAGGGTAAAGATTCTTAAGAATTTTTTGTCTTTTTCTGTCAGAGACATATAAATCAGTAGGTTACAATCCCACTAACGCTCTTTCTTTCATTGGTAGTTAGTATTTTCACATTCAGGAAGGTAAAGGCCCCTCCCCTCATTTTAATACAAGCAAGAATTTGGACTTTTCTGAGTGTGGGTGGCTGATGGCACTCTTTAAATCAGTGGGAGCTCACTGGCAATGGTGCCTGTCGAGTCAAGTAACTTAATCTGGTGCTATAGAGTTATGTACTTCACTCACATGTCTCTGGTTTAAAAACACTGTAGGTAGCTGTGCAGTTGGTCTCGTACTTGGTCCTCTTCACTTGATACATTACTTTCATAGTAGGTTTTGAATTCCTTTTCAGTCAGTGCACAAAGAATGATGAAGATGGGTTTTCTCTCAGCCTATAAAGCCTAAACACAGTGAGCTTCATCTACCTAAAAGAGTGCTGCTTTCTGGAAGTCGAAGGCCTCTTGCTGTTTTTCTAGAGCAATATTCTGCTTCCTATATTTTTTTTGTAAAACTGATGCAGATTTTACAGGGTGTTGTCATTAAATGATTGTTTTTACTGGTAGCCATTTGTCTACTTTGATGTGTTCGTAAAAGTAGCCATTAACATGGACAGTGCAGAGTTAAATATATTTTGAGATGTTTCTTTAGAAACTTCTAATCTTTTTCAATATTGAGTGATAAGATTATTAATTAAAACTAAAGGTCAACATCTAATATTGCTGTGTTTCCATGACTTGATTTTTCAATATTTAATCCTATTTGTTTTGGCAGAGAGTCTGCACTGTGTAGATCTATATGTTGAATCAATATCTTAGCATGCATTTTTCCTTGTTGGCTGTATTTAATGAGAATCTGAAGATGTGCTGCTGCTCTTTGCAGTTGAAAGGTATGAATGGGGAAAGATTAGGGAGAGGTTAAATGCCTTGTGTTGTTCTGTTGCATCGCTGATGTTACGTCAGGTCTGCTCTTAGCCTGGTGTTTTCACTTGTAGCTCTCATTCAAGTACAAAATCCTTCCTGCATGCTAGCAAGGTTGCAAGTCAGTTGCTATGGTATTCAGCATTTTATGTAGCCAATCGGCTTGCTTTTCAGCCCAGAATAAGAAATCGGTCACACAGACCAGAGCTGTAATGAAAAGAACAGCTATTGTTGGTGTGAAAATCTACAGAGGTTGGGAGAACAGCAGAGTATGAGTTTTCAGAAAATACTCATAGCAGTCCTTGTTTATGGTGTTATTTCCTACTGTATAACTACATGCTAATGATAGTGTCATAACAGTATATTTTCAGGATTATGATAGATTCTGCTGCTTGTCTTCTGCTGTTTGGCTAATCAGAAAATTCTGGAATGCTGCAATGTAATATAGAATGGCTTTGAATGTCATAATGGAGCTGAGTGTTAGCGCAGTCACCCAAGGTCATAAGAAAGACAAGTTACTTGGATAGAAGTAACGTTCTGATAGGTACTATCCAAAAAGGGAGGACAGATACCTAAGTTTTTTTACAGGCTTTTAAGAAACTCTTGTTTTCTTGTAGGTAGGTTTGTTCTCTTCCCTATTCTGTCCACAATTGTATCTGTAGGAGAAACAGAAAATACTGCTGCTTTTAAGGAAAACTTCATCATTCTGAAGTCGTGGTTATACCACGAATTGAATTTCATTTCAATTTAGAAATCACTAGAAACCATGCTTGCAGAGGAGAATGCTACATACCAAAGGCCATCAAAAATCTAGACAACCTATCACGACAGGTATGTGAAAGCACATATTTGAATTTGTAAATAACTTTACAAAAAAAAGTAGTGATTTATTCTAGGAATTATTTTTATGTACTCTATACAATATATTGGCACAATATCTTTGCCCAGTGGATAGCAGATTCTCCTGAGTTATGAGAGCCTTTGTTTTCTAAACCCGCTGACAGTGAACTCTGATACCTCTGCTGTCCCTGAATAGGAAGAGAGTCATCAGGGGTTTGGTTAAGAATAGTAGCTGAATGATGAAGTTGAATCTTGGAGAGGCTTTAAATGATACTGCCAATAGATGCTTAGGTGAGGCCTCCCAGTGGTGGCAAAATGGTGTAGAGATGAATGAATTTATTTGTTATTCAAATCACTGCAGTCACTGATTGCATTAAAAAAGAATGAACATCTGAAATTCTCAAGCCAGAAAGTGTACAAGAGTGTTCAAAGTCTTGAAAGTACTTTCTGCATTGACCACTGCATTTATATACTATTGCAAGAAATTATAGGCAAGATACTAATTTTAGTAGTTTCTGGTTTTTCATCTTAATTGCAGATATGTTCTTACATACTTTCACTTACAAATTGCCGTTTATTAGTAATTGCCTTTGTCTACTTGCCACTCAGCTTTTGCAAGGCGAGTTGTATGGGATGGGATTTCATTTAGAAAAGCCTTGTCTTTTTAAGGAAAGGGCAATGGAAGAGTTGGGGAGTGGATTTAAATTCAGTTACAAAAACAATTCTCTGTGTTGATCTGGTGCTCAAAGACTTGGCTTGCTTCATTTGATGCTTTATTTACCTTTCACAGGCTATTCACTGCATGCAATGATTCTTTTCAGGTTGTCACACATACCAGTCCTCTGCCATGTTAATTATCATAGCCCCACTGCTTTTGGAAATTATGATCAAGTTATGATAGTCTGCATTCCAATAGGACTTGCTTCATTTTTACCACAGTAATTCTATGAGCTCGATTTGCATTCACTGGTCATTAAAAGTGCTGCTTTTAATAGCAGAAATATAAGCAGAAGTTAAGCTTTGCCTCTGTAGGATGTGTGCAGACACACCCCTGAGTGACTAAGTTGAATGGATTGCTGTTGTCTGGACTAAATTCACATGATGACAAATACCTTCATAAAAAGGTATTATCAGCAACTCATCTTTCTAAATTTCAAAGATCTACAAATGTAAATGTAAGCATGTGTAAATAAGCATTGAAGTCATCCTGCCATGTGTAATACTTTTTTTTTTCCCTGTACAGAGCTTGCATCTATTTGCCTTTCAGTATATCTTCTAGAAAAGAAAGGCTTTGGAAGAAAATTGAAAGAAACAAATCGAAATGAAAAATATATTGCACAAGGTTCCATAAAGTTATTCTTTTTGATGCTGTACTGACTCGGGATGAGGGGTTGATAGCTTGGTCTTCTCTGTTTTCAGTATTAATAAAATGGGTTCCTTAACTCTGTCTCCTTACGTTCTGATGACAGACATACAGTTTGCTTCTATGAAATAGAGCATTTTATTTTTAATGCTTGTGTGATTTGTTGTTCCTTACTTTTCCCAGTTTTTGAGTTTTTCATGAAGAAGATCCTACCTTTCATTGAAAGAGAAGGGGCACCTGTTCTCTAGATGCTATAGACTGATACTCTGGTGTCCATTTAAAATTTTGAGTGAATCAGCTGATTTCTTCTTAAAACTCTGCTTCAATAAGCATCCTGTTGAATGGTTTTTGATGGTGGGGGAACTGATGAATCTGAGCTGAATCCCTTCAATGGCTGCACAAAGGGCTTCCAGTTACCTAGATCAGGAGTGAACTATGGTACCTGTCTGGTAATTCAAGAAATAATTCTTACCTCCTTAGGATTAAGAGTTTGAGACAGGAAAATCACTTGAGTGTCTGCAAATTACACAGGTGGAAGTGAGCAGAAGAGTTGGAGAGTTCTGGGCCGAAGCTTTTGATTTACACTCTCAGAAGTTTGGGAGAGTCCATTGAGAAGGTATTTCTCTGTTATTGAAAGAGATTGAGAGAACAAGGTGCTTTCTTGCTTAATGGGGTCAACAGTTTTGTTCCTGCTTGAAAAATTAAACTTAGATGAGGAAAAATTTCACCTTTTTTTTGTCTTGAATTTCTTTGTTTTTTAGGGAAAGCTATAAGGAAGCTTGTGCGCAAGGCGACTGGTGGCATCTAGAATCCTCAGATTTCCTTGACTGAATCCATCTGGTTTTAGCCCTAAATATAGTAGACAAGCTGCACTGCTTGCACTGATAAATTTTATCTTCCAAATGATAGACCAAGGTACAGTCATGTATACTCACCATTTTTGATCTTATTTCACTCTTAATTCTGTTGCTTTTTGGATAGTTGTAACAGTGTGGTTTGTCCCTATTGTTGCGGAAGCTACTAACAAGAACAAGTTTGCATCTTGGTGGTAAACTTACCCACTCCTGTGGTTTATCAGCTTGTCTGCAGAGGCAGGTAGGCAGTGGGACTGCTGGCAGGACAACTTCATATGGTTTTACTATATGTGGAAAAGAAAAAAGTGAGAAAACAAAACCAAATGTCATCTCCTTTTTTTTTTTTTGACATATATTTGCATTTACTTTGTTTAGTTGGCAGTTGTAAAAGGGAAAGAGACTGTTCTAACAGAGCATAGCTTTTGACTGTAAGGTAACACTTCTTATCAAAAGAAAAAATGGATCGCTGTTATGTTAAATGATAGTTAATCATTAGTTTTTTTATATCTGCTTTGGTATCTCAGATAGCTGTGGGAATAGCAAGCAATCTCAGGCCAGCTGGCCTGCATTCTGAGTCTAGAAATTCTTTTTGCTTTTGTTTTATTTAGGGGTGCCTTCTGTCTCTTACCTCTGTCTCTTTTAAACTATAGAGGAGGTGATTTTGTTATCACAGATCATACTGATTTCATGATGTTTTTTGAAGTGTTATTTCATGTGTGAAAGGACTTGTTTCCTCTGATATTCCTGTGGGTATCTACTCAAATATTTTGTTCTGCTTGGATAGTCCATGAGATCTAAAACTTAGGACTGATTCTTTTAAAATTGTTTTATCTGAGCATGACATAGATTGAATATTAATTCAGCTGCACAGAGTCCGTTAAAATTTTGATCATATCGGATATTGAATTGGAAAACTTCAAAGCTGTCAGCTTTTGGCTACAGGTGAAGGGGAGGAAGCTTCCTGGCTGTTTCTTCTCTGTTCTTCATGCTACATGTTGAGCTGCAGCTGTTCCCTGCCTCTACGTTCAAATGTTGAGCCTTATCCTTACATTGGCGTGGGCCTGGACACAAAATCTTCCAATGGTTTCTCTCTAATCTTCCAATGGTTTCTCTCTAATGCAGAATGCACTTGGGATAACAGCTGGATCTGGGGTGGATGGTCATAAGCTGGATTGGCTGGCATGTTTGACTTCTTGTGAACATTCAGATCTTGCTAAGGGAAATGCTACAGCAATCCCAGTCTGATCCTATGGAGCATGACTGCAATAGAGAAGATTGCAGGTCACGCACAGAAGATTTGCTAGTTGCCGGCAGCTTTCAAGCTGCTACATGAAATCTGTTTGCTGTTGTCTGGGAAAGAAAATACTAAAGTATGAAAGCTGCTGGGTTCAGGCTTGCAAAGCTGGTCTACAGATGGTTATCCTTCTGAATAGAATGCTGTTCAAATACATGTTCCTGCTGAGAGGCTAGTGAAAAGCTCCCATCATTCTGCTGTTTAATTAATACAATACAGCAAATAATTGAAAGTATATGTCTGCCATTTCGATCAATAGCAATAGATTGAACCTTTGGCATACAGATAATAGGTAATTTTTTTCTCTGTTATTAGTAGAGCCAGAAGATAAGGTTGCTGAGTTATGATACAATCTCTGATGACATTCAGCTGGCCTGTGGTGGTCAGTGTCAAATCCTTCCTGTCCTTCTCCATCCCTAGTGTTTCGTGATAAGTCTCAATGTCTATTGTGTACCTGTCTATTTAGCAACTGGCAGGTCAAAGCACTTGGGTATAGTAAATTCATTTTCTTTGTTCAAGGAAATTCTGGTATTATTTAATGCTGGTTTTAGGTTATCAAAATTACTACACTCCTCTATTTGCAGTCAGTGGGAAAAATCTGCCAAAAGAACTTCTGAACAGGAAAGACCTTGTGAGAGGTTTCTCATTCTCAGTGTGAACACCACATAGGGGAATATCTGGGAGCTGGTGAAGGAAATTAGAGCTAATGATAGGCTTTGGCTTAAGGTGCTGCTGCTTAATGCATGCTGTGAGAAGAGGGAATGGGCCAGACTCCCTCTGCAGTAAGAAAAGGGCTGTCATGAGCTGAGAGATTTCTGGTACTATAGTTCTGTAATAGTGGTAAGAGGCTGAAGATTTTTAAATCCTGCTAATGAATGAAAGGGGTTTAGTAATTACAGAATTTAAAAATACCAGGGGCATTGAAAATGTGGAATGTAAAACATATACTGTAAAGAGGTACACAAATATTAGGGAAAGTTGGATGTTTGCTCATGTGTTTTGTTAGCTGCCTTTGTATTTTTGTGTACAATTACAATTGAGTTTTACTTCAGCACAGTAGTAATTCAGTGAAGGAATAAATTTATTGAAGGTAATCTTCAAACTGTCATGGCAACTCAGTCTCTTGTGTCACTGTTTTTGAGAGCTTGATCCAACTACTTTTCCTTTATTTTAGAAGTCTTCCTATATTAAAAAAGATTTGTAATAACACAGATGCTGCAGCTAGATACTAAGAGTGAGAGCACTACAGTAATAAGCTCACTTTAGCTCCAGTTCCTCAGCACAAAGGGCTGATGATAAGCATCATTGGAAGAATGTAACAGAGGATGCAGATTTGAATAGTTCAGTGAAAGAAATCTAAAAGGTGGTTTTGCAGAGAACTGGTTGTGCTAATCTATTCAATAGTCAGTAAAGACAGACCTTGCCATAAAGAAGCAAATAGCAAAGAAAGTTTAGGGCACAGTGATGCAGTGAATAACAGAAAGTTATTTTCCATTTTCAACTACTGAAGAGATCTTATGGAGATTAAAAAAATTGCTAACAGAGTCAAGCATGCAATACAGAAGGTAGGTCTGATCTGTGGAAGAGCAGTCCATATAACCATAGGTCTCTAACAAAAGGACCAAATGGGTTTGTTGAAGTGATGAGATGATGCTAAGTGGACAATGAGGCAACAAACTAGGAATAGGCAAAGCTTTAAATTCTGTTGAAATTAACAGCTGGAGCATGAATTTGGCACAGCAAAGTGTTTCAAAATGAGGTTTCAGTTCTTCATAACAATGGGCAGGAAAGAGGCCTGTTATTATTCTTTTTTGGTCTATCCAAGAACTGTATATAATATGGTATTGTGTGGCATTTGCTTTTGTAGTGGTTCTATTTATCTCACTGCATTGCCATCTAATAATACAGCAGACGTGGTCAGCAGCTGAAGTGGTGCTTCCTCAGCAGCAGCATACTGATCTGAACTTTTATGTACACTCAGCACTGCAACTCCATTGGCTGCATGCTCACAGTGCTGCTATTTAATGCTGCTGTAGCTGCTTCTGACAAGTTGATGTACTGGCACATCAGGAGCCTCTATTGGTACATCATGGGGAGACAGGATGATCGGTAACTGTGTGCCCTTGCAGTGCAGTGGTTATAAATACACTTCATGAGGAGATCACTTCGTAGTCTTCAAGAGATATTTGCACTTGCATGTGTTACGGAGGTGGTGCTAGTGTGACCTGTCTGATAGAGCATAATTAAAGGTACCAAAAACCTGATGTGCTGCCACATGCCTCTAGACTGATAATGCAGTGCTGTGTTTTGCAGTCATTAAAATGTGCAAGTTTAATAGCTAACGGGCTTACACACCTATGTGTTGTATGGTTTTTGTCTTTTTTCTTTTTTTTTTTTTAACAAAATGTTAAAAAATGCACAGCCAGGAATTTCCCTGGGAAAACAAATAATTCTGAAGAAAACAAAGAAAAGCTTTTAACCAACATTATTAGTTATCTTTTTAGAATATTCTTTTCGTTTTGGGTTTTTATCTCCTTACCTATTTGTGTAATGAAGTCATTAACTAGTTTACAGCAGCAATTAATGAAGATTAGTTTAAATATTAGCTTCAAAAACAATCTTCCACTGAGTCGAAGGACAGAAGTCATAATTAGACAGTCAATATAATAACTTGGTAGCACACAATGTCTTCAAAGTTTTAAATACTAAAAAATGGCAGTCACTTTGAACAGCTGGTGTTATACCCTTAGCTTAATATATTTAGGAATCTGAACAGCTAAGCTGACTTTTGTCTTCAGAAGTTGTGTAGAATGTTTGCATGTAAGTGTGTAACACAATACCTGGCAATGTTCTAGATCAGATAAATTCTGAAAAACTACTGCAGCTGTTTTATTTAGCAGTTATTTTTAAGCCTCCTTATAATTATACTTGTTACTTGCTAGGTTGCTAGTATAATTTAGATACATTGCTTTAATAATCCTAGTAGATAATGTACTGTTTTTTTTTGTTTCTGTACATGTGTCTTTTCTGATTAATACAATGATTGAGACTAAAGAACAGGGGTAGGAAAGACAATGAAAGAAGCAAACAGCAAAAGTGAAAACAAAGCACATGCAAACATCAGGAGTCTTCCTCCACTGTAAAAATGAACAAACCTCACGTTGCTTCCTCTCTATTTCCCAGAAAAAATCAACATATACAAATATAAAGTTTGCAGAATCATAAAATCCTTAGAGTTGGAAGGATCCTCTGAGGGTCATCTGGTCCAACTCCCTTGCAGTGAACAAGGACACCACAGCTAGATCAGGTTGCTCAGGGCCTTATCCAGCCCCACGCTGAAGTCTCCAGGGATGGGGCATCAGCCACATCTCTCGGCAGCTTGTTCCTGTGCCTCACCACCCTCACTGTAAAAGATTTTTTCTTCTCTTACAATCTAGAATAGGTCTGATTCTGGAACTGGGTGTTCAGCTGTCCCCTTGTTATTGCTTCCTAATGCTATGCTAATATTCTACCTAGGAGGTAAAATACCAAAGCCTACAGCCCCTTAAGGGTAATTGAAGGAGATCTGTATTCTTTCTCTTTAGTTTAATTAGGGATTTAGGACATACTTATTGAGCTTTTACTCATTAAACTTTATGGCCAATAAATTTGAAAATGAGCATTCATCTATAGTGTAGTTTGGGTACAGATTGTCAAGTAGAAAGGCAGTAAAGTTTTTGTCATCAGGATGTGTGCATGTATTCTTCCCTGCTGTTTCCTAGCATTTTAATGGAACATTTAATGTAAATTAATAACTGTGTAAGCTCACTATATCCAGTTATGCTTTTATGTTTAACATGAATTTTAAATAATGTCTTATGCTGCTTCTGCTGTGGTTAAAGTAAATTACTATGTTGCCATGCTACTCAGTAGAACTGTGGACCCTAAGGGCACTGAATTACGAAGTGGTGAAGTTAATTCACATTGTTTTCTGTAGCAATTAATTACGATTTCAACACAAAGCCCTTTAACACAAACTTACCTTTTAATTGTAAAGTAACCCAAGTCCCAGGTTAAATAGTGGGTCATTGTTTGCTGTGTCTTTGAGCCATAGGCACTCTGCAGTGGTTGTATTTGTAATTGCTGTCCACAAGGCCCCTTATTTTCCCAGAACATCAGGGTGCATTCCCCTGACAGTGGTCGCTTCCATAGAGCACAAGGTGGGTCTCCTTGCAGCATCTTCTGCAGACTAATTTGTGCTACAGCTTTGCCACCAATATTTGCTGAAACCATACAGTTCTTGGGGTGGTCACACCGAAGTCAAGCTGTTAAAACACTCAGAGTATGGAGGAACAGAAGAAGAAAAATTGTGGAGTAGTTAGAAGGCTATCACTGCACTGAGCATTGCATCTGTTTCCTGCTTTGCAGTTGCTACAGTTGCAGTGCAGGGGAAGCTCAAATGATGTTTTTAGGCACTATATATATCCCTATCTTTCTTTCTTATCAATTGTTTAATTCTTAATCATTTGTAATAAAGTATTCAGCTATCTAGTCCACTGGATAATACTTAGCTGATCTGTTTCTCTACAACAGAAAGCTAAATCAAAACCTCTTCAGCTGTAGATAGCACAGTTGTGTTGCTCACTGGATTATTTAGCTGTTTCCTGTTGATACAACTAATAATATATTGGATTTTAATCCAGCTTGGAGAAAACTGCATGATAAACAAACGTATTATCTAGGAAAATGAGCACCATATTTAATAGCTTGGCAAACTGCTGTTGTGAAACAATTTTATCTAAACTTTAATAGTCATGGACCTCTTCAGGAAGCAGATAGGAGGCATGGAAAGAAAAGACTTCTGTAGACACTTAGTTTGATTAAAATATTTTGGTAAAGAATCCTTAATTATTTTAAAGAAAGCCACAGTGGGGTCTTTTCTCCTGTGCAGATAAGGAACTGGGAAGTTTTCATATTGCATTCAAATGTGCGATGTGAAATGAATTAGTTATTAGCCATGTCTCCTTGGGACATATGCACTATGAATAGGTTTTCTAAGTCTATTACTTTATTTTGCTCTCTACTGTCTTGTAAAATTGCACACCAGAATAAGAATGTCTCCAGTCCATTGAACACTGTAGCCATATACAGAATATGGTACAGATTTGGCTGTTTCAGACTGAGGTCTGTTTTTGTGGTGCACAAGCAAATGGAGGACTCAGTGACCCTGATTTTTAGAGTGCCAGGAAAACAAAATACCTGTTGTTTGTATCACCTGTGATTGTTGTACAAAACAAGTAGGGGTTGAAATCTAGGTTTAATAATTTAATAAGATCTGTAACACTATCAGTAAGCGATTCCACAGCACTACGCTTGAACCATATTCCTACCAAACACTCCCAATAATAGTCCACAGCAGCGGCACTGTCATCTTTGTGCTCTGTGTCCCTGATCTCTTGGCAGTATGTCACTTTCTGGCATCACAGTATTTTTTCTAGTATCTGTTACGCTGAGATTTAAGTGACCACCAGGCTGCCACGGCCCAAGAGCTGAGTGAATATCTAAGATGAAAGCTGGCCCTTGAGCAATTAGCATCAGTTCAGGGAGGCCGACGAGTGTGATTAGCTACTCCTCTCTTTATATTGTGGCACAAAACATGTGCTCATTTGGTTCCATCAATAAATTGTGTGAAACAAAATGCTTTGCATTGACTGCAAATTTCCGACGGGAGTGAGAAATAGTAAATACAGGTTTATAATGCTTTAAATATTTTCATGGTGTGTTTTAATTTGCTTGAGTGATCTCACATGGTGCCTTGAAGGGAGATATTATAAACAGAATTATTATTATCCTTTTTGCCAAAATGACATTGACATCGGTTGGGATTCTGTTGCGAACTGAATAGCATAGCACCACTGAAGTAAAAAGACAGATTTGGTACCTTCTGTTTAAGTTGTCAGGGTTGACTGAATTCTCGTTTAATTCAAAATCCTGTTTTATAGCCTCTATTACAGTTTCCTGCCCCCTCCTCCAAGTCTCTTGTCTGGGGTGACAGAATGTAACCATAAATGCAGTTGCTTTATATGGATTCTTTTTTGTGTTGTATTGTATGTGGTTTTGATTTTGTTCTGTTTCAAGTAATAATCCATGTTGCTGTGTAGGCGTGTAAGCAGATCTTTCTGCTTCTCTTTGCTTGTAATGCAAGTCCTCGGGACTGGACCAAAAAATGCCGATTCAATTTTAAAATGCAAATAGACTCCTCATCTCCCATGGCTGGCAAACTTTCCCTTTTATCCCTCAGCCAACTTCTCTCCAGTCCGCTGGTTCCCCTTCTCTGTGTCATGCTTGCTAACTTTTGCAGATTAATTTTTTATGAGAGATGCTACTGAAATGACTTTGGAGATTCACATAAATTATCTCTATAGCTTTTCCCTCACTCTTCGCTGTTGTGAAAGATTTAGTAACGTTTCTCCAATGCCACATAAGTTCTCTAAGCCAATATTGAATGTTTTTCTAATTTGTGCATTAAGTAATTTCAACTTGGTAGTTTTTTTTTCAATGAAGTAAAATGTTAAATGCATTACATAAATTTTAATCAAAGAGGGGAGGTGAAAAAGTATGTTACTTCTGTTTTGTTGTATACACAATTTTTAAAGCTCTGCAATGTAAATTGAGCAGAGCTCTGCCTGCCGAGAGCAGCTCTGTCTGCTCCTCTGCCATTGTTCTCTCATGGTGCAGGGGCAGCAGTTTCTGCTGCCTTCATTAGCAGAAAATGGTGAAATGAGGCTTCGCTGTTTCCCTGCTTCACTTTGTTCCCACTCAAAGGAGAACAGACAGGGCAGCTTTTTCACTTTTTCACTGGATACCTGCCCTTGAGTTCTGGAGAGCCTGAGCAGGAATTTTTACTCATATAGGAAGAAATGACATATGAGTGGCTGTGTCTGGTGCTTGTTTCACTCTTTGAAGTCAGCAGGAGAGCACCATTTGTGTTGTACAAAGCTTTGCCTGCAGAACTGAGATGTGACTGCTGTCTATTTTGTTCTGCATGCTCTCATGTTTTAATATCCTGGTAGAGTTTCCCAAATTATTTTCATGGTTAACGCTCTTCTGGTACATCAGGGAAACTTTGATTTTTGTGAATAAATTGATTCTGATTTGTTGCAATTTTTTTTTTAATTTTTATTTTTAAGAAATTAGATCTTATATTTGGTATAGCTGACATAAGGCCAAATTTGCCATCTAAGAGTCTTATAATTTGCTCTTGAGACAACAGAGTGAATAAAACCGAGCGTTTGTTTCTCTGTGAAGTGTAGCTCCAAAGCATTGCAGTTTAAGGGTTTTCCAACACTTATGATTGGTGGGTAGTGCGTGTATAGGTATGAAGGTTAATTAAATCAAGTGGTGAAGTTTGTAGAACAGGGAATGCTTCATTAAGCCCTGTGTGAATTAACTTGTACAATCTGTTCACAATACCCCAAGTGCCATTCACTGAGACAGTGTAATTACAGCTTACACACATTTTCATTAGTTTGTGTTTCTTCTACTGTGGTTGACATGTATGTTGTCTTCACTGAAACCTTGGGTTAGAGGAGGTACTGCTCACTGGTGGGCATCTGAGCATGCTGACATCCAGCAAATCATTTTTCCTTTGGGTTCTAAAAAGTCTTATCCCAGATGTAATTAGGCTTGTGATTCATCAGCTGACACATTTCTTTTTTTCTCAAATTCCAGACCTAGCTGCAGTCTTGTGAAATATTGTTCTTGTACACTTCTTTGCTTTAAACAGACAAGGCAATTATCCTTATCCCTCTGCTAGGTTTGTTTTTTTTTTATTGTTTGTTTGTTTGTTGGTTGGTTGGTTGGTTTTTAATGTAAAATTCATGCATTTTTATCAAGTCAAGATGTAACAATAACCTGAAATTGTAGAATTTTAGATATATCTCTCTTTAATGACTATGAAATTTGGGCAACTATAGTACCTCGTGCAGAGACATGAATGCTTCAGTAAGAATTCAACTATATAGATTCCCAAGGCTTTCTTTTAATAACAGCTTACAGTGCCAAAGAATGCTCTTAGACTGAAGTGTTGTTGCCAATTGAGGCAAATTTGCATCTCTCTTGATGTATGCTTAGTTGATTTCCAGAGAAGGACAGTAAAAGATTCAGTTGTTATCACAGAATCAGACCAGATGCATGCACAAAAATCCTGTAAAGTTATGTGCGCATACTTAGCATTGCCCTTCAGATAAGTCCCATGGGTGTATTCAGGTGGGAGAAGTTAAAGATGAGAAAGCAGTTGAAGATTCAAGTCTGCAGACAGAAAGCAGTATTAATGAGGGTAATAAAAGGCCTAGTGAGGGGGAATGAACAATGACCTTTATTGCAGAGCTCATCTGTAAATTATTTCTTTATGTTAAAAAAAAAACCAGCATAAATCCTTTGTGAAGTTTCTAGACTGATGCCAGTGAATACAGCTGGAATGTAACAGAAGTAGCAATAAAATCAACCTCCTGCTGTTCTATTAATACCTTTAAATATCTTTAAGAGGTTTGTTTAAAATTTAGATCCATGCCATGGGGTGTCCCAGCTCTGCCAAGGGTTATCTTCTGCCATGTGGCCAGCAGACTCAAGCAGTAGTCTGAAAGTACAGGAGAGTTTAGGGTTTATGCATTTTATCTAGTATTTCTTTTTGGTATCTAATCAAGTAAAAGTAAAACATTTCACAGAATCCTCCTGCCTATGTTTTCTCATGTCAAGATGATACCCTAAGTTGCTATCTGTGCTTTCTGGATTTTTGAATGACTGCAGATAGGATTGGACTAGATGATCACTGTGGCCTTTTCCAACCTTAGTAATCATAGCATCACTTGAGTTGGAAGGGACCATCAGGTTGTCTACTCCAACTCCGACTCCCCTGCAATGACCAGGGACATCTATGGTTCCATCAAGGTGCTCAGAGCCCCATCCAACCTGACATTTTGTGTCTCTAAGGTTGAGGCATCCACCACCTCTATGGGCAGCCTCTGTCACTGAAGGGTTCTATGATGCTGATTCTTGGTGAGTTTTAGTTTTACACAATACATTTCATATAAAAGCCATTCCAGAGGAAAGTTGGCAATAAAACGTTTGAAATTATGTGTGTATTTAAGTCAGCTCTTCGGCGTGCAGAATGTTACACAGACATAGGCTGAAGGAACTTCAGAACAGTACTTGAGAAAACCATCGAATCATCATTCCAGGAGTAGAATGTTTTGGAGCAGAACTCCCAGTCTTTGAGCACGTAATGAAGAATTACAGGAAAGCAGATGAGGGAATGAGGGAATGCAAATACCATCCATTTGCACCCAGTGCAGAAGCAGGTCTTGATGCTGCTACAGAGAACAGATTGCAGATTGCACACTATGCAGAGGAAAACATCTAGCGTGACAGCTTGGGGTTTAGGCATAGTGTTCTGTAGACTTGTGTGCTCATGCTGGGAAGACTATTAGCTGCACAGTGACACATAGGAGCTTTATATTAAAAAAATACATATACATATATATATTTGAATTTTTGGCCTTTGGAATAATGGGCTACACTGATTGAAGCTGTCTTCTGCTTGGATCAGTACAGCATACCATACTACTAAGGGAGTTAGCTGTGTCTTATCAAAATAAAAGGCCTTGTGTTATTTATTCATATCAGTGCCACAAGAGCGTGTGGTGCCTTATAGGTGATTAAAATGAACATGCCACCAGAATTTCACTACTTAGACAGAGCACAGCAAGAGGTGAGAAAAAAGGCAGATAAGTACAGGAAGCATGAGGATTGCAGTAGTGAAAGCTCATGAAAATGCATTCATATTGCTTTAAATCTTCTACTTATTCCTCACGTGTGTTTCCTCACTGCATGCTGCCTATGTGTCTTGCTGGTTATTTGATTTTCGGTTTTGCTAACATATTCTACTCATAGACTGTGGTCATGATTTGTTTCCCTTGAAGTCCCTGGAAGGAACTCCTAGCAATTTAAACAGTGTTGGAGCAACCTCACTAAACCAAGAATGATAGAATGCAGTAGGGAAGAAGTTACAATCTTCTTTTAAAAGGAAATGTTTTTTAGAATGAATAATCACCCATGTAAATCATGTTGCTGAAGTAGTATGTGTAATGCTGTGTACAAAAACAGCATGTTTCATCTTGACTTCAGAAATACACAGTTGAGAAGTTTGCTATTCTGAAACTGTCTCAGTTCATAAAACTCCAGTGATAATTAGTGCAGTGGTGGATAAGTGCATAAATGCGTGCATCTCACGTGAATCTCTTGGCCTCCTTCTGTCGGTGTTGTGCTGCTGATTCTTCCTGGGTTAAGTACTTAATGTATTGAACCTTGTTATCATTAGCTTCAAATATGATTTTTTTTTTTCATGTAATGACGACTCTTGTGCCGTGAGAAGATTGCAGATGATTTCATTTGCACAAGTTGTGGTTTTGTCCTCTTCAATGTTTTGCCTCCAGTATTAAGGCTCTTGCTGGTTCACTCTCATCCTTCTGATTTTGCTGTGCCTCTTGTAGCAGTATTATCATTTCTTCAGAGTTTGTGTGTAATGTTTCATTATTCTAAAGGGATCAGCTTGACATGAATTCAAATCATTTTAAGGTTGAGAGTCCTTTAGATGAATGTGCTGTTCTTTGACAAGGTGTATTCTCAAATGCAGAGGATCCTGAAAACAGGATAAATTTATGTTTCATGCTGCAAAATGCGGAGAGCAAAGGGACAGTGTTGATATTTTTGAGTAGCAAATGGTAGATCCTGCCTTGTATGCATTTGTTTGTGTTTTAAACTTCACATGAAAGAGAACCACGGAAGTGGACGAAGACAATTTCCTTTTCTATCAAGATACCATTGGTTTCTGTTGAATGGATTTGAGGAGATTTCTTAACTATTCAGATGTGTAGATATGCAGACAGGCCAATTGTGAGAGCTGCAGGAATATCTCTCTCAGTTCAAAATACTTCTAAAATCTTATTAATTTGTATCTTCTGTGTCCCAAGTAGATACTCTTCAAAAATATATGTATCACAGCTGATTTTTTTGATGATACATGTATAAGAAGCACCAAACAATATGAAAACATTAAGTGCATCAAAGGGAAACAGATGTGTAATGAACTGTAATGAAATTTATTTACCTGTTTATGTGAATGCTGCACATGTTTGATGGATTTAACTATTTAATAAACAGCTTGCCCATGTGTTGCCCAGTAGTGGAGTAAATCCTAGTAAGTCAGCTTATATAAGGCTATATTCATGAGTGTGGCACTTAAAGTATTCACGCCTTTGCAACTGGGTGAAAATGTCAAAAAGATGTATTTTTGTAATACAAGTACCTCGTTTCTTTTTGACATTATTTTCTGTAGCTCACTTTATATGCCTATCTTTCTTCTATATTATCATCATGATGGTATTAATTTAGATGTGCAAATTAGCTCTTCATGATGTTGTCATGTCAGCATCTGGATTCAGGTTGTGCTGTTTCATAAGTACTACGTCCTATTGCGTTTCTTCAGAGTCCCCCTTTCCTAATCTAATTATTCACAAGAAACCTTGGGGATTGTGCTAATGGCTATCTGAGGCTATAAAGAGTAATGAAAGTGGTTGTGTTACTGCTTTGCAATTAAATGTATATAGAATACCATTCACATAATTAAATTCAGAATTTTTGCCACTCTCTTCCTTCTTTATAGTACGTTAATTATTTCTTTTAAGTTAAAAAGAATGCTAATGGAGTTTAAGAGCTTTTTGCTAGTGTTGTGTTGTTTATAGTCTCAAGTTCATCCTGGCTATTATTTTTAAAGGCATTCTGCAATTAAACAGCCAGTTGTGTGAATTGATTTTTATGAATTTTTCATGTTTTATTTGTGGAAGGGCGGAGGACGTTGCTGGCTGATGCAGAATTGGAAGTGCTGGGCAACAGAGGGGGGTTGCTGTGTGCTTTCTGCCTGGTTTATGTCTCCTGGTTGGATCGGGTGCGATACACTTTATGCTGTGGCAGTGATGGGTGTCGGCAGTCACTGCGATTTATAAGTTCAGCATGACCTTTGGTCTGGGCTTAGTTTTCTGTCTTTGTTCGTTTGTACGAAGTGTTTTGATGAATGAGAATGAAGTATTTAGATCAAGTAGTCAATATGTTTTATGCTGATAATTCCATATTAGTAAGTGCTGATGGTTAGCGTGTGTGAGGTCTGCTGGTAATCTGACTGAAATCAATGGCAGTTTTGCCTCATTTACTTCAATGGGAACAAGAATGGGTCTTTAACCAGCAGAAAATTATAAACACCAATCTGCTCATGTGTCATTCAACATGAATGAAAGTTTTTATGATGCTGTCAGGCTGAAAAAAATCCTTTTCCTTCCTGATAACAAAGCTGTATTTAGTTGAGGTAATCCCTAGGTAGCCTGTTAGAGGTGTTCCAGCTTTGCTATTTCCAACAATAGGGAATGTGGCCACTTGCTGGTTCTACTTATTTAAGTAGTTGCTACTGCTCAAAATAGCATGCAAGACTGCTGTGCTGCTGAAATTCACCTCCAGACAGCCTGCATTAGTCCCGTTATGTCGAACTTTATGTGAAATTCAGACTTTTATTTTAATGCTGTGGAGTACATGGTAGTACATACATTGTTCAGTTCCCTTTTCCAGAACACCGGTGGCAGCTGTGATGATTCGTAGCAATGAAGAGGCCAGGGATTATGAAAGAATTCTCCACCTTTGATTAAGCAAAGATGGTGGAGGTCTCACCCTTTGTTCTGGACGGCTTTCCATTTCCTAACCACACTGTCATTTCAGAATTGGCCATGTGGATAGTAGCCTGCTTCAAAACTGAGTACTAGCTTCATAAAATAATTTTTCTGGGATGTCCTCTTAGTCTTCTCTGCAGGTACCCAACAGGAGAAATGGGCTGTGAAGTTTGAATGGGAATTTTAATACGTCCTGGTCCTGTCTGACCACATGGCAGAATGTCAGAGGGGAAGTGTCAGTTTCTCTCTAATCATCACTAGAAAGGCGAGGAGGGAGAAGGAAGGGGGGAAAGTGCACAGAAAGCATGATCTCTCAGCTGGATTTTCAGCTTGCTCAGGGCGGTAAAGGTCAAAGCCAACATTTAGGTTGGTGCCTCCTTAATTACCAGGAGGCAGTCTCTAGAACATAGAAGTAGTATGCTTTTCACTTGACTCAGCAAGCAAGATTCTGCAGTCCACATTTGCTTGCATTTTAAAATAAAGTTAAAAGCACAACAGTATGTTGGTAGTTCTTTATTCTGTCATTAGAAAGGCAAGTAAGTTTTGGTTCCAAGAAGAAAACGTGTATCTGACTGGCTTGGCAAAATACTCATGGTCATACTGGCAGTGAGCAGTCTGACTAATGCTGTTGTATTTGCTACCATGATTAGGGATCTTGATTCAATGCCTGGCATGTTTGCTGGCTGATTTCCATGGCTGACCATTACTATTCTGCCTATTTGCTTTTAAAAAACTCGGCATTGCTCTTGTGTACCTCCCAAGCATATCCTGTATAACAGGCCTGTCGTCTGAAAATCAGTAGATGAGAAAACCTTCTAGACATTCATAAAAGCCTTCTTTTTTGAAATTAAAAAATGATAATTTGTTTGATTTTTTTTTTTTACATTTGTATTTTCTCTAGCAATTTGATTTTCCACATTATACCAGTTTCCCTTATTTACAGGGTAAAATCCTTAGTCCTCTGTGCTAATACGTTAAATACTGACCAACTGAAATGAATTCTCATTGCCTACTGCATGCTTTTTTTCTGTCCCTGTTACTTTTGCATATTAATATTTCTTTTTTCTGTGCAAATGTGAAAATACTTGTCTAGAACGATTTAGAAACAAGATGTCTGATTTTGTACTCCTGCCTAGTATGTGCATATCTTTACTCATTCTATTAGTACTGGTCAATGAAAAGTAATTCTGGATACTAACATTAAAACTTCAATAAGGAAAGCTTGTGGTCAGTCACTGCTTCGTTAGGCCTGGCTTCTAATATAACTCTTCTGTTCTTGTATATTATATAAAAAACCAACAACATGATTTTAATGCTCCCTAGGTTAAATTTTGTGCAAATCAGATATGAGAAGTTTTTCTACCCTTTTTTTTTGTTGCTGTTGTCACACACAGAATCAAATGAGTTTCTGTCTCTCTTTTAAAGCCAATTTCCACACAGAAGTTCAAATCCCTTAGATCAAGAATGTGCTCATTTAGACAGATTATAATTGATTTTTTGGCCCTATTTTCAATACTTTGCACTGTAAATGACATCCCAGTGGAAAATAATCATCGTACAGATGTTTGAAAGCTCCTTCCTGCAGAGTATGGTAATTGAAGTCTGTAAAGTGTCATCAAACTGCACGTTGTTTCTAATGAGTACAAGGCGGTTTCTCTTAGCTATGTATAGTTTTCTGGTTGCTTTCCTTTATTACTTTATTATTTCTGGCTAATAAATCATAAAATATTGATGACAGTAGGCCTGTATGGTTGATGCTGAATTTTTGAAGCTATTGGTTTGCTCTTAGCTACAATTGGACAGTTGTACTCTGTCAATATACATACATATACTCTGATATCTTTTGAAGGGCTCTTCAACTTGCACTAGCAGGAAAAACTTCAGGTGCAACAAATAAATGCATTCATTCACAATAGGGTCTTTATGATAATAATTTTCATTTGTCTGTTTTTTTCTGGAAAAAAAGAGTTAGTAATTTCTTGATGGCAGGTGATTTTCCATAACATTTTTTAGGTTGAGTGCTCTTAAGTCTGTGCAAAAGCGTTAGAAAAGAAAGATTTTCTGCTTGCTTTTGCTTCCCTGTGCTAGTGAAGCTGATGGGTCATCCCAAGTTATCTTGTTGTATCTTGAGGACCAGATTTTCTCTCCAAATTTGTACATCTTTGGTAGGTTCAATTAGTCCAAAGTAGTGTCCCTGTATTTCCCATTGCAAAGAATTTGAAGACCTTAACTACTTTCTTTAGGCATCTATTTTATGCATGGAGGACTTAAATAAAGTCCCCTTTCTGATACGAGCTTGTATCCTCTTATTATTTAATATCATTTAAATTTTATTGTTATTGCACTGTATTGATCTAATCTTTGGGTGGTCCTGTTTGCAGCCTGGAGTTGGACTCAGTGAGCCCTGCGGGTCCTTTCCAACTCGGGATATTTCATGTACTCTATGGTTTGCATTGTATTTTATTGATGAAATTTGCATTCCTCCCCTGCGTATGGTTAACCCCTTGTCTGAATATTAATTCAGAACATTCAAGACTTGTCATTATGCATTGGTTGTAAGTTTGAAAGATACTTCTCTGTTGTGAAAGGTCCACATCTTACTTGTAGATAAAGACAATCAAGACCATGTGTGAACAGTTAACAGACAAATTTGTTGAGCTGACATGGAATATGAGGCTCTGCTTTAAGATTTAGGAGAATGATTTGTTCTCTCCAACTAACAGAATCCAGAGGAAATTGTTTTGTTTATTCTCTGTCTTTGAAACACATTAATAATGATTTATTTCCATTTCTTCACATCTTGTACTCCTTATAGTCTTTCATACTTGGAAAGAAAATAACATGCAGTAGCTATATTTGGAGAATGTCATGTAAATACTTACCAGACTTCTTAGTGGTTCCATTGCAAAGTACTTATAGTATCATTTGTATGATATTACTTTGCACTAGACCCTCCAGTTAGTGGAAAACACATAGGAGCAAAACTATCTCGAATTTGCTACTAAATATGCAAGTGTGTATGAAGCTACTGAAGTAGAAGCTGCTTGTGTTATTCCAACCAAAGTTGCTTTCCAAGGTAAAAGATTTTTTTTTTTTCTTATAAATATGGCATCATTTAGGGATAAAAATGTGAACTAAAAATACCATTGTAATGAGCCCAAGTAACGTGTCTGGGTCTCTCTGCTGCCCTCTTCACTGCAGCACAGGGCATGATGGCAGTGGCAAGTCCACACCAGCCTGTGGGACATGGTGCTTCTCTCTACCCAGCCATCCTTTGGCTAATCTTCCAGCCTGTATTCCCTGGTTCCAGCTTGGGTGACAACTTTCTCCTTATCACAGTCCTTTGAACACCTAATAAGCGTGCTTTGCCTCAGAGAAACCTGTCAACACCTTTTCTCTTCATTCTGCGTTTAATAGATATGTCAACATTGCTTAATGGAGAATGGTGAAAAGGTATGTTTTGTATTTAGCTTGGAATGCAGTGGTGTGTCCTGCCAGCAGTGCTGTCGCAGGCTCAGAACTGAGCTGACGTTGTTATCTCGGCACTGATGCCAGTTCAGGTAATGCAAGCTCAAATATTTCTCTGCAGTGCTCTTCTGCAGGGCATAAATACACCCTCATGCAAACAAAAATTCAAAAGTAGCATCTCAACTGCACATCTATCGTTTATAATTATAGTGGGATTAAAATAGAGCTGAGCCTTTGGTTGGCCTCGTGCCGCAGAACTCGCTTGGCTTTGAGAGCACAGCAGTAATTACTGCGGCCTGTTTTAACAACCAGTGATGATTGCAAGGCACATCTTCAAGGGTATGGGGGCGGGGGGAGCCCTGCACATCTATTGAGGGCTTAGAAGTCTAAATACTATCTGTATGGGCTGAACATTAGCAGCTCTCCAATGATGCAGCCCCAGGTTGTGTGGCCATGGGAAAGGTGCCTGCAGATTGGTGAGCTGTCACAGTATGCTTTGAAGCCCTCTGATCCGGGGAGGCTTCTAAGAAAACTGCTCTGTCTCTGTTTGGGAGACACAAGTCTGACCTGCTAAGGTTGGCTTTTCAGGCTGTTTTTTACTCAACTTTTGAGTTTTACCTGTATGCTAGCAGAAGCTGTATTTTGCATTTAACTATTTGATGCAGAAAGAATGGTAGCTCTTAGTCTTAAAACACGGTTTGGAGCTTGGAGGTTCCCATCTGTGAATGCAGTGGAAGCAGGCTGAGTTCCTACTTGCATTATTGTGTTATTAGACTGGAAGAAGTTTTAAGGACTGTTTTAGGAAATATACTGAGGTACTTGAATGTTGTCACATTTCTCAGAGTAGAAAAAGAATCTGAAATTGCTTGACAAGCAAACGGTTCAGTTGCTTTTTTAGATGCTGTCCATAGCATTTGTAATATACGCTGATCCAGTCTTGTTATGTAATTGGTATCCTTTGGGAATATTGCAAAACGGGGATGTTTGTTTCCTGAGGCTGTTAACAGTGTTTGAAGTTTCTTTATCAGGCACAGATTGAGGTGAAGTACATTGACTCATTATCTTCTGTTCTTTAAGTGATTTTTTTTAAGAGAATAATTGCAGTAATTACTAGAAATAAGATGCACTTCAACTTGTTATCAAATTTATTCTTCTTTGCACACTCTGACTCTCTAGAACTCAGTCTTTTAGGGCTAGGAGTGCCTCTAGTTCCTGATATGCAAGAGTGGTTTAGCATGCCTTCATTTTAAGCATGAGTAATCCCATCTTTCATCACATTTATTGTGCTGCATTCCTATATACACAAGGACTTTAGTCTTTCATGAACAGTATTATGGGATGAGCTTTTAGACCATAGTGAAAGCCACTAACAAAAGGTTAACATTAATTCTTTCCACTATGGTTTGATGTACATGGTTTAACGGTTGTTGTATTCATTTTGAGGCCAGCCTAGGAGCAGCCTTTGATGTTACCAGTAGCAACAACCCATGTTAACATTAAAAAAAAAAAAAAAAAAAAGTGATTTTTCTGTTATTAGGGTCATTACATAAACTTGTTGAAGGGACTGATAGTGTGATGTTCAAGTTTGGCTGTGGTTTAAACGCCACTTAAGCCAAGCATAGTACCTGGATAATTCTGAGAGGTCACAAATGCTGATTTCAAAGGATGCTGAGAAAGGCTCTAATATATTACGATGTGCATGATCTTCATCAAAGAAGCATTAGGCATTCCCAGAAGTCCCACAGTTATATGATCTTGTGACAGACCCAGAGGCAAATTCAGAGTTGTCAGCTGAACCGCCTTTGGAGCCTGCCAAGCAAAAAGATGCTAATGTTAGATGAATATCTACACAGCTTGGCATCAAGCTCCCCTGACAGCCAACGAGCCCTACTGTGACCTTCGCTTGCTGGTCCACTGCTGGGAATCACAGAGGAGATGTCCAGTGGTGTTTAAGTTTGAGCTGCACGTTGCTCACAAGGTTTGGCTATAGTTTATTGCGCACTGCATAGTCAATGAATATAAAGATGTTATAATTATGAATTAAACAAGAGAGTTTGGCAGAGCAGATTATAATAACAAAAAGAGAATAGATAGAATGCTTACCCGCATCCTGGTCTCACTGCAAAACTCCAGAGAAGGGATCTCCAGAGATCCTTTCCCACTGGTAGTCAGCTCTTAAATAGGTCTAGGAGAGGTGGGGCAATTCTCCTGTGCTCCCATGGCTGACTCACTGCTCGCCTCAGGTGATCAATCAGAGGTTCAGGCTGTGATTCAGCAGTTCCCATACAACACTATGTGCAGAAAGGATTCCTATGACTGACATTCACTAATCACATCTGCTCAAGTAAACTAGGCGTTACTGAGCACTGCAGCTTGCTGGCATAAAGCGGCCCATGCCTATGACAGTTAAATTTCAGTTTCTGAAATGTCAGGATCTGCTGAGAAGTGTCCCTGGCTCATGGTAACTCCTGAACCATGCTGAGGTTTGTCTGTGGGAGAGCAGCGTACTACAAGCCTGTCAAGGTCCACTCTTCACAATTTAACTGTATTAATAATAGCATTACAAAGCCCAAGAAAGTACTGGATCTGTCCTGCATATTGTAGTGCAGGTATGGCTTTGTGCCCCCTGCTTTCCTTGTCATTGCTCTGCAGTTAAAGACTGGCTCTAGTCCAGCTCCTAGCTCCAACCCTCCATGATGTTTAAGATTATATACCCTCAGCTTCACTTGAAAGCTTGCTCACCATGGCTTTTTCTTCCTTGGTGCATGTTACTGTGATGCATTGTTAGGTCTCCTCCAGTGTATTCATTTAACTACATGCATACTCATTAGAACTGAATTTGGGAACATTTAAGTATCTAGACAAATGATTAAGTGCTTTGCTAAATAGAAATGTTTTGCTGAGGGTTAGCCTGGCTTATCTGTCCCTTAGTATGTGTAGAATCAAAACTGCTTCTCTGATCTTGGATAATAACTCTCAAGGATCGTTTTCTTTTTTTTTTCTCCTTTGTGTAAAATGGGAATGCTAACATTTCCTTACTGACTTCCCTAGGCTGCTGGGGGGTTTAATGCCTGTAAAGCACTTTGAACATAACAACTGCTGTGACAGAATTACTGAGAGCTTTGCTTCTGGAATTTAATTGCTTACTTAAAAAAGAAAAAAAAAGTTCAGAACCAGCTGGCAGGGAAATTCTATTGAAGTTCTTAAGTATTATGTTGGAAATAGCATTCATATTGAATCAGATTATTCAGCATTGTATTTTAAATTTTGGATGACTTTTCATTACCCTTGGATACATTTTAAATTAATGATTTTCCTTTAAAATGTAAATATATTATTTTGTCTCTGTTTTATAATAGTCTTTTAACAAAACTTGATGTTTGCTCGTTGTCGACCATTGCATTTATTATGCACAAGTATAATCATTTCTGACAGTGCAACTAAAATTAATGTATTTTAATAATTTGTACGAATTCCATTCTTGGCATTTGCTTGCTCTAAAATAAGGAGTTAAGTTCAAGGTCTTTTGGTGCTCTCAGTAAAACCCGATTGCCTAGCATTTTTAGCACTTGGCAGCACCGTTTCTAATCTGTCTTTTGCTGGCAGCCAGGCTGTGCAGCTCCTCGCTGTGCAATAACATGGATCTGAGCAGGAGCTCCCAGCTCAGGCAGCCCTCGTTTTGTGATGACCAGTTCAAACCTTGCTCTGGAAATTGCATACACATAATGTGATGCCCATGGCAGCTTTTTCCTTTCTGCCCTTCACTATTGGTTGCTAAGAGGAGCAGACTGGCACATTTTCTAATTGCACTAATGTTTATGAAATGGAGGGTTGTAAGCCTGTTGCTGAATCGTTAACTGTCACAGTCAGGCCTGCCTCACTTAACAGCAAGCAGCAAGAAAGAAACATCTGGAGATTCATTTCTCAGGAATCTCAGGAGAATAAATTTCTAGTGTGTGTTACACTGCATGGCCTGTGGAGAAGCTCACTGGGGATGAGCATTTTGGAAGTTTTTTGTGGATATCTTTCAGCAAACAGCCAGGTTGATTTTCAGTGGTTTATTCAGTTGTCAGGCTCTTTGTTACCTGCATGCACACACATAAAGCTGTGCTCTCCCAGCACTGCAAGGCTGCTTGTGTGCTGCAGGTGATGCTGTGCCGCCATACTGGTGCCCCTAAATTGGTATTAAAATGGTTTATGGCAAACTTTTTATCAGTCCATCAAGTGTTTCAGGTTATGAAGGTACAAGTAGTGCACTTACTGACTTCATTAGGAAAAATAGTAACATTAATTAGGGGTTCTGTGGAACTAACGACAGAAGCGCTGCAGTCTTGCTGATCTAAGCAGGTCACCTTGTACAGAAAGAAACTAAAGTGCGTGTAAACTATAGTCAGAATTTTAAGAACTGTGTCCTAATTTTCAGCTACACTGCATCTGACAAATGTTCCTTGACCTTATTTATCACTGAAGTAGTGAGAAACTTCCCATTTACCTCAGTGGGCAGAAGGTCAAGTCTCTAATCCCAGATGCCTTGTACTCTGCAGGAGAGGAATGAGTGCCAGAACTCTGAAATAAGGTCTTTGAGACTTTAATAGCAATAAAAGTGGGGGTCGCTTTATTAAAATCTGAATCTGTGACATGTATTCAGTGTGAAGTCTTTTTTACCACAGAGCAAAGAACCTTTATATTCTGTGTTGCATATTTGTGCTGTAGGCAAAAACATATTTTTTTTTCTCATCGACTGTGCTCCTGTAGTTGGGTGTTATTTGCTGGTTTTCTAGAAAACCAGGAAGAAATAACAGGAGAAATAACACTAGAAACTAGTGTGAGATAAAGAAACTGATGAGAATTGTTTAAGCTCTCAAATGTCTATACAAATACTGGAGGAAAGCCCAACTATATCAAAGTTCAAGGCTACAAACTGTAAATCACAGTGGTGGTAGGTACTCACAGAATCGTCGAACATCCCGAGTTGGAAGTGACCTATAGGGATCATAAGGTCCAACTCCCAGCTCCATACAGCACCCCCAAAACTCAAACCCTACATCTGAGAGCAGTGTCCAAACATCTCAAAAATCTCCAGCAGCTCAGGGCTGTGCCCACTGCCCTGGGCAGCCGTTCCATGCCCACCGCCGTTCCATGCCCTCACCCCCAGCTGCCCTCCCCTGACGCAGCTCCATGCCGTCCCCTCAGGCCTGTCGCTGTCACACGGAGCAGAGCTCAGCGCTGCCTCTTCGCTCCATGTGAGGAGCTGATTTGTCAAGATCTCTCTGCAAAGCCTCTCCATCCTTGAAGGAGTCAACAGCTCCTCCTAATTTAGTATCGTTCATGAACTTCCTTAGTATGCATTTAAGTTCAGATCATTTATAAAAGTATTGAAGAAAACTGGCCCCAAAATGGTACCATGGGGAGCCCCATTAGTGACTGGCTGGCAGCCTGATGTAACCCCATTTGCTGTGTCTCTTTGACCTCCCATCACGTTCTGTATTTGTCTAGCAGTATGCTGGACATTTTGTCCAAAAGGATGCTCTTAGAAATAGTACGAAAAGCTGTACTGAAATCAAAGTAGATCACATCAACTGACTTCCCTTGTTCAACTTGGTGGGTAACCTTGTCATAAAAGAAAACTTACTTAAATAGGACTTGCTGTTTATGAACTCATGATGTCTGTGACCAAGACTGCGTTGTCTTTCAAGTGTTCTACAGTAACTCACACAATACTCTTGATTAATAGTTATTATTTAATTAATAATTAATTAATCCACAATTTTACCAGGCACTGAAGTGAGACTGACAGGCCTATAATCATGAAAGTATTCTTTCTTATTGGAAAATTGATTCCGTGTTTACCAGATTACAGTTGGCTGAGACCTCTCTGGACTCCCAAGATTGTTGAAAAATAGTTGAGAGAGTTCTCGCGATGGCTTCAGCCAGCTCTTTGGGTAACCTTCAAATGCAAATTTTGGATTTGGGTTCTGGAATTTCTCAAATAAATTTGTTCTTTGAGTGAGCACTGCACTGAAATATTCTGAATGGAAAAGTACTTTTCGTGGTTCCTGAGTATTTAGAGATGCATAGACCTGTGAAACTTAGTGAAACTTGGCTGCATCCTGGTGGTAACATGGCCAGCCAAAGCAGGTGAGCACACTAAGGTGTCTATTTGTAGCATTTCTAAAATTCAGAAAGTAGAAAAAAGGGAAAGATCTACCCGGTGCTGCTGAGGATTTGAAGTTAGGTGATTTTTTACTCATTATTTTTTACCACTCACCCAGAGTGAAGGACTTGTTTTTAAAGCTGCCTTTCAGGGAGTAGTCAGCATTCAACCCTGTAGTTTTGGGTTTCACATCAGGAGGATATTGCTGTACTCAGGAAGAAAGGTGATACTTGGCTCAATAAACTTCCTTGATCTTACTCGACAGGATTAAATGGGGCTGATGGATACTGCCCTCAGTATATTTGCTCTTGCTGATAGTGAAGCCAAGAAAGGAATCGGTTAGGAAAGCAATGACACAAAGTGCAGGGACATACACACTTCTCTGGACTTTGTTCTGCTGTTGATTGATCACCTTGTTTCGCTGATCCCTGAGGCACTTACGCTATTAGCACTTACGTTCTGAGTTTGTCTTGGCCAAAATGCCTGTTGTGTTCTGTATAGCATGGAACAAACACCATTTTGTAGCATAATCATCATCTGGATTTGAAACCAAAATGAACAAGAGAAGCTACAGAGTGTGATTTAGCAGGGTGACAATGTCAGGGGCAAAGCGGCAGATAAATCCTTTGTTTCAAACTGCTTTCTTGCCTTCTGTTGTGGCATTTCAGTCCACACAAACTTTTCTGTTTTGTGCATGCTCATGCTCTCTTTTTCTCTCACCCATCCTTCCCAAGTGGCCACTCAGCTGAATACTGCTTGTCTTACACTGCTTTGATAGCATAGAAAGGTGGTAAGATTGTGAACAAAATGTCTTCTAGTAGAGTGGAGTTGGTTTTCTGGTGTATCAGCTTTTAGTTAGTCATGGTGTGGGCAGTGCGATATGTGAGATTTTTCTTTTTGTGTCCTTGCATTTTGAGGGGTGGTTTCTGATGCTGTGTAATTG